CACATATACCGTTAAAGGCTTTCACGATCGTAAGCACTGGAAGTTGCGACGGTCTGTGTCTCTCTGTTGTTTGAGGCTGTGTTCATACTTCGCGACTTGAGTCGTGCGCCACTGACCGCGCTCCATCGCGAATCTTTGGACTGCTTCAGAGCCCGGAATAATCCAGGTTGACTGCGACTGAATTGGAAGCTGCCGTGATCCAAGGATTAGCGATGGTGCGCGTTTAGATGCTGTTGACTGAATCGCTAACTATAAATGCAGCCTAACTGGGCATTATTTCAACTATTGTAACTCCAAAATCTCGACAAAAAGTGCTTCCAGAGGGCATTCCAATGTTTTGATTACGCTTTACTTTTTGTGACCTCTATATCTGGTTTTCATGCCATCTTGCCACGAGTTTACCATAATATTCGTAAGCACGCCTTTAGGGGTAATTAAGGGTCCTTATCGCGAATATGACAACAATTTTCAACGTCAGCGATCCCGGATTGGCTACCAGGCCAACCAAGCTTTCTACACTCCGGGACGGCAAAGTGAGGGAGACGGGAAAGAGAATCGTTAATTGCCGCTTCGTCGCGCGCGGACGTTTCCTCAATTTGCACTGTCCTTTCAAGAAGCATCGGATGTCATGTAGACAAGGTCATGGTAAACACTTATGTCCATTTTCATAAATATACATTCTCGACCTAATACCACCTGAACTCGTCGTCATTATCGGGCGCGACGCCCATTGGCGCCGCGAATTACGATTCTCTTGCCACATACCCGCAAAGTGGCGCCAGATTTATCTGGGACGATACGAACACTGACTTGTACATCGGGTGGACCCCACAAATAATTGTGGGCTAGACCGCATTCGATAAGCCTTTTCGATTCTCAATGGAAGTAGAGTGCGTCCCGCATTCTGAAAAAGGATTGATCAATGCAAAAACTTTATACTTCATCCTTTTTGGCGTTGTGTCTGATTTGGCAAAGCGAGCTATTGTTGTTTCAGATGGCCACTGCGGAACCAATGAATCCGATCAAGCAAGATCTGAAGAAAGGTCTGCCACGGTTTGTGCATAACATCTTCCCGCACAAAGGTTATATCTGGAATTATGGTGCATTTCCTCAGGTGGGTACAAAGAATGTGATCATCACTGTCAAAATAGGCAGCATAAAAGGATTTTGTAGACGTGGGAAGATCCGAATCATACAGTCCCTGATACTGGAGCAAAAGGTGACAACGATCCCATTGATGTCATCGAGATCGGATCGAAGGTGCAGGGACGTGGTGCAGTGGTCCAAGTGAGTTTCCATCAGAATGATTCCTTCTCTTACTCTTCCGATTCCTATTCTCGGAAACTGATTGATTTCGTTGTAAGAAAAGTTTTCATTCTCCAGTTTGCCTCACTTGAATGATTATTGAATCCTTCATTTATTACTAGGCAAAACAGGGTACAGTTCGGCTTGGTGGGAGCACCGAATAGTTTGCAGCAAAACTTTACAAACCACCTTGTAAGGACCTGCGAATTCCTGTAGCCGAATAGGCTCAATTGAATAGTTTCGCAGCTTCACAGAAGTTAACAGTTCTGATCAAAGTGAAACTTGTTAGTTAACATGAACCAACAAAAGGAAGTAGTGAAAGCGCAAAATGCCCCCTCCCAGCCGATCAGCACCCAAACTTGTGACCAATGGAGTATCTTACTACCTGAACTACCCTAATAATACTTATGTTACTCTAGGTGAAAGTACTTGGAACATTGGCCTTGATCG